AAATATTTTTATATGATAAGAATATGTAAGATTTTTACATGGTTCTTAAATTGACGGAAACGTCTTTTCACAAAAATATATTCGCTATATATTGTTGTACCTATTCGCAATTTCGCAATTATTTACAAATGTCATTGCTATTACCTACATTTTACATGACTATTTTATTTTATATATACCAAAACATAAATATTGCTTAAAAATTAAGACCATTGGTTTCCAAACTTTTTTTGCGGAAATGTCTTTTGGAGGAAACGGGAATCGAACCTTTTTCGTTTTTGGCGGAAAAGGGCTATGGCGGAAACGGCCAATATTATTTTGGCGGAAACGGGTAACGCACTCGTGCAATAGTAAACGGGGTCAGCGCTGTCTTATCGCTAGGAGAAGAGTGGAGAGTAGGCCTATAAAACAGGGACCCATCCACCCGATATTCAGACGTGATTTACCAGAGCCAGTACGAGCACCTTCACGCCAGTCGACTCTCTGACAAATTTCAGTGAACCAAAAATATTTCTATCAGTTTTACATGTCAAAATAAAGTCTATGTTCATAATATTCTACAATTGACTTAGAATTATTTACACCTCATCATCTCTTGTCTTATACACCACGATCTGTGGGCTGGACCACAACAATTTTGGCACAGTCAGAGTCTTCTCTACAGCAACAGGAAGCCGTAAATCGAAGACATTTTTCGAAGAAAAAATTTGAAAAGAAAATTTTTGAAATTTTTTTTGAAAAAAATTTATTTTTCTCTCGTTAAAATTATCAACTGCAAGGATTCCTGAGGAGGCAATTCATTCGAACCACCATTGGAGGACTGATCACCTTCCAATAACTCCAGAGAAGAAGAATCTACAGTAGAACGCCAGCCAAGCAGATCAGTACAAGACAACATGGACGCACTAGCACAAGCCGCAGTTATGTAAGTTGTATTGATATTTGTGTTAGAATTTGGTAGATTATATTATAAGTCACGTCTCCTTTTGATTTTATATCAATCGTATAATTTTGGTGAAGGTGTATATATATGATAACTACTCAAAGAAATAATACAGTATAGTATATAGGTATATATAAAAATAAGTGAAGAAATGTAAATAAATAATTTGGTGAAAAGAAAGGAAGAATAAATAATTTTGTGGAAAAAAAGGAAAAATAAATAATTTTGTGAAAAATAAAGAGGAATATATATATCATAAAGGAAAAAAATTGTGTTGAAATAAAGTGAATTATATTTGTATTAGGAAATACGAATTTTTTTTAAGAGGATAGGAAATAAGGGGATTTTGTTGAAAAAAGTGTTATAAAAAGTTACAAAGTATAATTGAGCTATAAAATATATTATATTGGGAATATTGAAATAAATAAAGGAATATTATATACAGGTGATTAAACCGTATTTTATGGGAATATTGAAATAAATAAATGAAAATTATATACAGGTAATTAAACCGTGTTTTATGTGAGTTTTTGAAAATATTGAAGTAAATAAAGTGAATAGTTGGAAGTGTGCTCACAGTAAAAAAAAAACACAAGAGTTTTTATGGAATAATTAAAAAGAATAATTAAAGGGAAAAAGAGTTATATATGAGGAAATATTAAAATAATAATAAAGTGGAAAAGTATACAAGTAATTTTAAGGCTAGCCTAGAAATAAGAAATAGTAATAAATAAATATTAACAACTATTTTGTAATAATTATTTTAGTAAAACTAAGGAAAAATAAATAAATCGTATAATAGTATTTTTAATGTCGAGATAAAAATCAATTCTATATAGGACGAGCGTCGCATATTAAAATTAACTTTGGTATTTAATAAATAGTAGTAAGATATTTTTTTTTATTGAAATATAGATAACAATTATTTAATAGAAGAATAAATAAATACATTATTGTGTTTATCGGAAAAATAAAATTAACGAATAAATAAATAAATACATTTATTTAATTACGACGATTTTAATGAATAATATATATTGATGAATCAAGGTTCAGATAATATATCGGATAGTTCAACGGACAATTTAATTGAAATAGTTGAGGATAGTACGAGGGAAGTAGGCATACAAGTAGAACAAACCGATGAGGTTGCTGCAGTTGTTGCCGATACAAACTGCACCGTTAAAACTGAACAATTAATCGATTTAGATTTAACTGGGTGTTATCCAGGGGCAAAAGATTTTAACAAAGATAGATTTTTACAAAAAATAGGAGGAAGACCCTGTACAGAATTAATTGTATCACCAGTAACTACTAGGTCAGGAAGAGGAGGAACGCTATCCGATTCGGACGTAGTACACGTAGAGTTAGGTGTAACACAAAGGAAAACGAATAAATTAACAACTAAATTGCCAATTAATAAAACCGAATCAAAGATGGATAAAAAACTATATTCTGAACAATTAAATCTACCAGCACCTGTTGTTCTTCCAAATACAGACAATTTTCCGCAGCCTTTCGTGGTAATAGGCGATGANTGTGGGTCGCTATATTAAAAAAAAAATTCAAAATGGGTCGCACAATAAGAAGTTTGGGAACCTCTGATCTACTGCATTATGTTTACATTTTAACCTTATCTAATAACTCTAAACATAATATTTGATTTTGAGAAAAAAACATAAAATTATATGATATTCCCTATATAATATAATATAATTTAGTATAATATAATTTATATTATATTATATTGAAAATTATAAATTATTTCAGATATCTGTCAGTTGGAACAAATTTTGTGGCGTTACAGTATGAATTTTTGTTGGGACGAAGTACAATAGGAAATGTTGTTAGAGAAACTTGTCAGGTTCTATGGAACACCCTACAGCCTGAAGAAATGCCAGAGCCTAATCCAGACCAATGGATAGAAATAGCCAATAAATTTTATTTGAAAACCAACTTTCCAAATTGTGTAGGGGCAGTCGATGGCAAACATATTCGTTGTATGAAACCCATTAATTCCGGATCAATGTTCTACAATTATAAAAAGTATTTTTCCATTGTATTAATGGCTGTAGTGGACGCAGAGTATAGCTTTATTTCAATCGATGTCGGTGCATACGGTAAGGAGGGTGATTCTACAATTTTCAAAAATTGTCCATTCGGAAAAAAACTATATTCTGAACAATTAAATCTACCAGCACCTGTTGTTCTTCCAAATACAGACAATTTTCCGCAGCCTTTCGTGGTAATAGGCGATGAAGCTTTCGGACTACACAAAAATCTTTTAAGACCATACCCTGGACGAGGTCTCACACAAAAAAGAAAAATTTTCAACTATCGTCTATCAAGAGCTCGAAGGTACGTAGAATGCGCTTTTGGAATACTCGCAAATAAATGGCGTGTTTTTCATAGTGCTATTCTAGTTGAACCCGATTTTGCTGACGACGTTATTAAAGCATGCTGTATTTTACATAATTATGTTAGACGAAGGGATGGTTATAACTTCGAAGACACCCTCTCAAACTCTTTGGAAGACATTCAAAATGAAAATAATTCTGGAGCTCGTCAACAAGGATTAGATGTTCGAGAATATTTTGCTGAATATTTTATGGAAGCAGGAGCAGTTCCGTTTCAATATCGATTTGTTTGATTTTTTTTACTTCTAATTTTTTTTTTTTTTAATATAATATCAAAATTATAATATTATATATTTAAATATTAATATAATATAAAATAAATTCAGGCGATCATATTTTACAAAAATAAGTTATTTTTAAACTATTTTTAATACACGTTCGACACCGGTATCAACACGTTGTCGTCATGCAACAACCGGCTCGTACTTCGCCTTCATAAATATAGATTTAGTCACAGATCGTACAAATTTAAAATATTTATGTTAGCCATTCAAAAATGACATACCTATACTTATGTTTTGTTTTATTTAATTATTTTAAAAGTAGGTACTATTATTATTTTCTTTATATAATATATAATATTATTAGAAATTGCATAGAAACATTAAAATTAATTATGCTTACCGTAAGATTCTTGCTCCATGTTTGAAAATGTATCCCAATTTTTGAATACAGCACTGGCTACATTTATTCAGGCCTTTGTTTTGCAATGTTTGTCCATATAATTACTATTATTGATATTCCATAGACATTCTTCCTTCTCCACTTCGTTTATCAAAATATCAATGTCAATCATATTGATATATTTAAATTAATTAACTCGACACAAAATCAATAGGTAATAACAAATAATAAATCGATTATCAATCAATAACTAAAAAAACTGGTAAGAACGGTAAAAAAACGGATTTGAAACGCGTCGTAACCGCTGAGGTATGTCGCATGCCATATAAAACAATGTGTTACGGTTCCAAGCGTCAATGCGTCCAAAACGCAAAACCGCGACACGCAGCGGTGTCAAGGTGCGATCCCACGGCGCGTGGCGTGGAGCGCGGCGCGTAGCTTGGTATAGCGCGGTACAACGAACGCGCCGTGGGATCGGTGGGGCGTGGCGCGGCATGGCATGGCACGGCGCGGCGCGACCGTTCCCGATGATTGTCGGTTTTTGTGTCCCGCGTCAAAAAGAAATTGGCGCGGCGCGTGTATTGGAATCCCACGGCGCGGCGCGGCTTGTTCAATTTTTCGTCACGTTTTCGTAAATAATTTATTGAGTTTTTATTTTTTAGTATTGTTTTAAATAAGTTTTATTTGAAAATCTTTATAAATTTAATTTTTTATTCAAATTAAGTTTACTTAATAACTATGAATTGGTCAAATGATCTCATTATCGAGTTCTTGGAGTTGTACGAGAAGGAACCTGCTATTTGGAATCCTAGAGACCCAAAACATAAGAACAGGAACTATGTTAACGATTCATGGCAAAGGATTTCCGATAACATTAGTGCATCATGTACTGTAAATGAACTAAAAAAGAAGAGAGATTCGTTAATGTCCACTTTCCGGAAACTGGCTTCAAGAGTAAGAGGAAGTAAAAAGACTGGTTCAGGCACAGCTGACGTATATAAGCCCGACTGGTTTGCCTATGAAATAATGGCGAAGTTTTTGCATGGAGTTTTCCAACCTCGAGTCACACAAAATACAGAGGTAAGTCCTAATCACAAATAATTATATAGTTAAATAGTTCCTTAGTTATAGTTCCTTAATTCATTTAATATTATGGTATAATGTAATAAGGCATAAATAGGCTTAAATTGGATTCACTTAAAATGTTTAATATTTAAAATTTAAAAATTGTAGTTTCCGTTATAATATATTAATCAAAAACGTTAAATAAAACGTTCTTCGTTCGTCACAAGTCCGTTAATATTGCTTAGAAAAACTTAATATTAACCACAAAAATCTCTAAGAAAAAATAATCTTAAAAGATATATAAAATAAAATACTGTTGTTTGACTGGTTGACAATGAAAAGCAGCTGCAATACCCAAAAACGAAATTCGAGGGAATCGTGTACCTTGTACCTATTGTTATATAATGAACCTTTTTTAGTATCTTACAATCAATTATAAAATGTTTACATTACAACAAAATATACTATTCACCTTTTACTAAGGTATATTTAATATTATGGCTATGCTATTAACTAAAATTTAGATAAAAAGTCTAGGTATATATTAGTGAAAGACATTCTACATAAACAATTTAGTATATATTATATTATTATACAGGGTAGTGGGTACATAACTTATATGTTACAACTCAATACTAAAAAAAAAATAATAATTTGTGTTAAAAATATATGAGTTAAAAAAGTTGAAAAAATGTATGATCAATAGACTAGTTTTTAACGTCCCGCCAACAGAATTTTAAAATATTTATATATAGGGTACTGATAGTTTACCTTGTTTCCTTGGACACACGGTATAATAAAATATTATAATATATACTATTATGGTATTCTTAATTAATTATTTGTTATTCTGCCAAGTTACTGCTCCGTTTGTCACGAAGTATTCTGCGAATAAATCTCTTATTCGGAGAGCTTCAAGTCCAGATTTTCGAGCTACTCTTCGAAGTGACAAAAATTATGTCATATCACCCTGGTCTGTTCTCCAGGAACCTGATTGGTCTTCATTTTCATGTTCAGAATCAAATGTTCCTGGGGGAGAATAGCTTGATCTTGATGACTTACTTCTTCTTAAAAAATTGTGCAGCAATGCACACGTCATTGCTATGTCTGAAACTCTGTCTTCATTTAATAAAATTGGCTTTCTCAAAACACGGAAAACGGATGACATTATACCAAATACGTTCTCAACAATACGGCGAGCTCTTGAAAGCCTATAATTAAATATACGTTTTGAGTTACCTTTTTCATAAACGCCCGAGTATGGTTTCATCATATGTTTGCCCAATGCAAATGCGTCATCTCCGACAAAAACATATGGCATTATTTCGGTTTTTGTTGGAAGTGGCTCATCTATTGGAAGATTAAGTTCGTTCTGTTCTAGTTTTTTGTAAAGAGATGTATTTCTAAAAACACCACCGTCACTGATACGACCTTGACACCCAACGTCAATATACGAAATAAAATAATTTGCATCTACTAAAGCCATTAAGACAATACTAAATGTCCCTTTATAGTTATAAAATTCGGAGCCACTGTTTCCCGGACATTGTATTACAATATGCTTCCCATCAATAGCGCCGAGGCAATGGGGGAAGTTCCATTTGTTGTTGTAGTCCTGAGCTATTGAAATCCAATCATTTGCATTTTCCGGTAACTGAAAATGTACATTCATAATATTATTATTTTCCGTCATTTATAAATATTTAATAATCTTATGTTAGATGATTGCGGTTTTCTTATTTTACAAAATGTAATTCGTTATAAATCTATGAATGTTTGTTTTAAAAAAAATACTTTTAAAAACAATTATCACATACTTGTAGTATTTAAAATAATATATAGACATATAAAAATATTCAAATCCAAATAGTTCAAAAAAGTGTTTTCAAATACTTTTTAAATTTTATTTTGCTGTAATTCAAAAACGAATAACCGTAGACACTTAAAAAAAATATATTTTGAGTCGTTTTGAGTTGTTTACGGACTATTAAAAATTTCAATTTTTTTAGTTTTTTTTTTTATTAATATCAATACAATTTTATTTGTTGAGTCAAAAAGTTTGAAAATTTAATATAAGGCTCCTGATATATTGTTACAAAAGCAGTTGAAAAATATTAAAAATACATATGCACAATTTTTTATTATAAGCATTTAAAGTTCGAATTTTGACAAAGTTTAACAAAATCTCGAAAAATATCAATCATTGTAATTAAAAAATTATAAAATATCCAGTTTTTATAACTAAGGATTGAAAATTTAAAACAAAGGTTCTCAAAAATAGTTCATTCTGTAACCAATAAATCTAAAAAAATATATAAGCACAGTTATTTTTTTATAGTTAATTTAAGTTTAAATTTGGACGAAATTACATATTAAAAAAACAAGAAAAGCGATTTTAGTTATTTTATTGTAATTTTATAATATTAATTCAACTTATCGATTAAGTAATAACAAAATAAATATAATATAAAATATCCACCTGACAAAACGTCTTAGCTCAGAATCATTTTTAGTATACTGCAATGACATTTTATCATTTTGTATCAAATTTAATACCATCCATTAGTACTGTACAGCAAGCCGACCGCCACTTTTCCACCTTTTTATTTATTGATTATGAAGTTTTTTATTTTATAATAAAGAAGGTAACTCAATACCTAGCTGTATTTAAAATACTTTTTTCGTGTCACTACATTTTTACATATATTTTTATGTCACAATAGTTTATATGACATACCGTTCTATACAAAAACCTACATTTTTATAGTAGGTGACTAATTGAATGGAACTATTTAAATTTAAAATACAATATTACCTATATAATAGATAAATACTTTATTTTTAAAATATATTACAATTATTTTAAATACTATAATAGCATTTAAATAATTCCAACTTTTCTTTATAGACTTTTTTGGACGAAAATCAAACTACAACAGATATTGAATCGGATAATGAAATAGAAAAAAGTGAGCAAGACGATGTTAGTAATAACGAAGGTATAGAAATCACTTCTACGCCTACAAATACTACTGCGGATCCAGTTTTCAAAATTCCAACCACGACCAAAAAACGAAAAGCTTCAAATATAAGTATAATTGAAAATCGTATGGAAGATGCATATAATATTTTAAAAAATGTATCTGCAGAGCCAAGTCGTGACGAGTGTTCATTGTATGCTGAACTTCTTGCAAACAAATTAAGAGTTTTTGACGAAAATATTCGTGAAACCGCTATGCACGAAATTGATAATTATTTATACGGACTTAAACGCAATCAAAATCAATTGCGTAATCAAAATAATCCTATACCAATAAACTCTACACAAACTCATTCACCATATCCGCATACATTTCAAACATATTCATCACAGTCGCTCCATAATCAACTACCAATAGAATACTCAACACTTCCATCTGGTCCTGGACCTTTTCAAGAAAATGTATGTGCTTCACCACAAGACTTGACATCGCACCATCAAGGTTTTTCATATAGTTATCAACCAGAATACTCCACTTCTTCAAACTCTCAATCATCACAAATACCTCACTCACGTAGTCCAATATCTCCAGATTATTCAATACCTTCACCACATTCACAAACATCTTCATCAAATATAGCATTTCCTCACAGCAAAAGTCCGATATCTCCAGATTATTCAATACCTTCACCACATTCACAAACATCTTCATCAAGCATAGCATTTCCCCACAGCAAAAGAGTCATGGTAAATCAAACAGACGAATTGGAACCAAAGGATAGGCTGAATTTTGATCAATTATTTGACAAAGTATAACTCAAATTATGTAAGATACTATGAAAATATTATGTTTGTTTTGTTTTTTAATTTAGATTTTTAATAATTACGTATACATTTTATTATTTTATTACTTTGTTTATTTTTTATAATTACCAGTTAGATTTTTATAACTTGCCCACTAGAATTTTGTTTTTATTTTGGTTCATTTTTAATAATTTTTTTTGTTCGAAAAGTTGTTTTATTTTATTTTATTATTTTATTTTGAGTTTTTTTGGTTATTTTACAGACAAATTTTTATTATTTTGTTCTTTTTATTAGAAAGACTGTATTCTATAGTATGCTTTTAGTTTTCACCGTAGTTTAAAACATTATTTATTTAAAATACAATAAATGTATTTTATAAATTTTGTTATATTTACCTTGATTTCGTCTTTCAATTCCTGTATTAATGCTCTACATACTTCTTGAATACATCTCGAAACGGTTTGAGGAGAAAATTTAAATGTGTAGGACAAACTAATAAAACTGTCACCTGATGCCAAATATCGTAAAGTAACAGCTAGTCTCTCTTGTATAGGTATACTTTCTCGCATATTAGTGTCCATTTTCGATACATATGGTGCAATTTTATGTAATAAATATTCGAAATCTGTTGATGACATTCTGCAAAAATTTTGAAATTTTTTCGAAGGATTTATTTTCAGATCGTGCAGCATATTTGTTGCATTATACCTAAAAAATTAATTTAAAATATATATTTTGTAGTGTAAAATTTACACTTTGAATAGTATTTAAAATAATTTACTTACTTGTATCGACTTTTATAAAAGGCATCTACCCAATTTCGTCTTTTTTTTCTGGGTGCTTTGTTTGTAGGATTTGATTTTAAAATTTCACCACATGCCAAAACACAATATGATGCAGCACAAATTGCAAGTTTTGATTTTTCATCACGATCTCCCATGTTGTATTCAATAAAAAATAATAAATATATGGTAATATAAAAATTATTTTACACAAAAATACGGTAATTATACAAACGTTCAACATACGTCCGTACTCTAAAAAGCGAAGGAACACTATGATCAAATGATCAATGCTCATCAGAATTCAAAACCCAAAAAATAAACTGCTGCTGCATTTCCCGCGCCTGGAAACAAGCCGGGCTACGCGCCGCGCCGCGCCGTGGGATTATGTAGACGCGCGTTCGTAGTAGCGCGTGTAGTTGCGTGGTATATGCACGAACTCCGCGCTCCAAGCCGCGCCACGCGCCGTGGGATCGCACCTTCACGCGGCAACGCGCGTCAAAACCGCGCTAGTCTGACGCACACTCCATTTACATGTATGCATTTCCATCTCACGTTTTCGACGCGCGGTGCTCCCGCGTTTTCACCGCGCGTCAAAACCGCTGTAGTGTGTCGCGACCCTAACAGCGCATCCTCTCGGTCGTTGCATGCGTACACGTTTCGGTGCGACGTCCTCTTAATGTTTGTAATTATGGGATTAATAATAATGACGTCTATAATAATAATAATTAATCTAAATCGTAATTATAAGCTTGTGCATAGAAGCAGGTATAGGTACATGATATACGCATTAAACGAACATCACCAAATGATGGAAACGGAATGCTAAAAGAAAATAATATATAATATAATATAATAAATCATATAAAATTAAATTAAAAATAAGTAGATACTTAAAACGTAGAATAAATGTAGGATTAATCATTATAAAAGAAAAGGGTATGTAACGATTATTACAATTACAACTCATTTTATGGTTATATGTAATAAATGTACTTTATTTTAGAAAACATATAGTATTATGTAGTTTACATTATTTTCTTTTATATACAGAATAATGCTCTTCGAGCTATAATAATAATATTAACAGTTCACAAAGGTTTAATGTGTTAGTGTACAGGCGTTAACCCTGGAGTACAGGATTCCAAATACACAACACAGAATATAA